CTCCTCTCCTTTAGTCTTCGGTCTCCCTTGGCTTAAGCTCCACAATCCCCACATAGACTGGTCCACTTTGTCCATAGTTAATTGGAGCATTTTCTGTCACTCTCACTGTCTTCACTCTGCCATGCCCACTACCCAGACTGTTAACTCCTCCCAAACCAGTTGATCTCACACTTGTCTCCACTGAATACCATGACCTCCAGGAGTTTTTTTCCAAGGACTGAGCTTTGTCACTTCCTCCACACAGACCATATGACTGCAGCATTGACCTAATACCTGGTGCCCCTCTACCTACCAGTAAACTCTATAACCTCTCCAAGCCTGAAAGAGAAGCTATGGAGGAATACATTTCGAGCTTGTTGACTGCTGGTTTAATCCGACCCTCTTCGTCTCCTGTGGGAGCAGGATTCTTCTTCGTTGATAAGAAAGACAAATCTTTAAGACCATGTATTGACTACAGGGGCCTGAATGACATAACTGTTAAGAACAAGTATCCCCTGCCTCTCATCAACTCTGCCTTCAGCTCCCTCCATGAGGCCACTATTTTCACAAAGGTAGACCTCCGTAACGCCTACCATCTAGTGCAAATAAAAGAGGGAGATGAGTGGAAAATGGCTTGTAACACTCCACTTGGACATTTTGAGTATCTGGCAATGCCATTTGGCTTAACTAATGCCCCAGCTGTTTCCAGGCTCTTATCAATGATGTTCTGAGAGACATGTTAAATAGGTTTGTGTTTGTGTACTTGGATGATATTTTGATCTTTTCTCGTTCTTACCAGGAGCATGTTCAACATGTTAAACTTGTACTTCAGCACCTCCTTGAGAACAGACTATGTGAAAGCTGAGAAGTGTGAGTTTCATGTGTCATCTGTTAGTTTCTTGGGGTTTGTTGTGGAGAAGGGGCAAATTAAGTCTGACCCAGCTAAGATCAAGGCTGTGGTTGAATGGCCCACTCCTACAAATAGAAAACAGCTTCAGAGGTTTCTGGGATTTGCTAACTTTTATCGTAGATTCATTCGTGACTATAGCAAAGTTGCCTCTCCCCTAACAAGGTTGACATCTTTGAAAGAACCATTTCTGTGGTCAGCTGAGGCAGAGGCAGCCTTTGTTAGGTTAAAAAGTCTATTTTGTTCTGCACCTGTTCTGTCTCATCCTGATCCCTCTGCACAGTTCATTGTTGAGGTGGATGCCTCGGACTCTGGCATCGGGGCAGTTCTCTCACAACGCTCCACTTCAGACCAAAAACTGCATCCTTGCGCCTTTTACTCTCGCCGATTGACCCCCGCAGAGAGGAATTATGATGTGGGCAATCGAGAGCTTCTGGCTGTTGTAATGGCGCTGAAGGAATGGAGGCACTGGCTGGAGGGCTCTACTCAACCATTTTTGGTATGGACTGATCATAAAAATTTGTCTTACCTTCGTTCCGCCCGCAGGCTCGGTGGGCTCTCTTCCTATGACGTTTCAATTTCTCCCTTACCTTCCGTCCTGGGTCCAGGAACATGAAACCTGATGCTTTGTCCCATCAGTTCGCCTCCTCTGTAGATTCTCCTGAGGAACCCATTTTGCCTGCTACCTGTATCGTTGGAGCAGCCCGCTGGGAGGTGGAGAAAGTGGTCCAGGAGGCCCAGGTGAGTGACCCCACGCCTGAGGGATGTCCTCAGGGTCGCCTATTTGTTCCTCCATCTGCTAGGTCGGTGGTGCTTCAGTGGGGTCATGCATCCAAGGCCTCCTGCCATCCTGGGTTCCACCGCACTCTGACCCTGCTCCAGCAGCGCTTCTGGTGACCATCCATGTCGTCTGACACCAGAGACTTTTTTTCTCCCTGCTCCATTTGTGCTCGTAGTAAGTCCTCTCACCGTGCTCCAGCTGGACTCCTCCGCCAACTTCCTATTCCCCATCGGCCTTTGTCACACATTGAGGTGGATTTTGTTACTAGCCTCCCGCCTTCAGAAGGTAATACCTGTATCCTTACGGTAGTAGACAGATTCTCCAAATCTGTGCACTTCATTCCACTCACCAAACTGCCCTCCGCTTTTGAGACCGCCAATTTACTCATTCAACATGTATTTAGGATACATGGTATACCTCAGGACATTGTTTCGGACAGGGGGCCACAGTTTACCTCTCAGGTTTATAGAGCCTTCTGCCACTCACTGGGAGCCTCAGCCAGCTTGTCCTCAGGGTATCATCCACAAACCAATGGCCAGACGGAGCGGGCCAATCAAGACTTGGAGTCTGCTCTTCGTTGTGTTACTGCATGCCACCCTGCTTCCTGGTCCACCCACCTCCCTTGGATTGAATACGCCCCTAACTCCTTGCTCAGCTCAGCCACTGGAATGTCTCCTTTCATGGCAGCCAATGGGTTTCAGCCTCCTCTGTTCCCTACCCAGGAGAGAGATGTTGCAGTACCATCCATCCAGCAACACCTTCGGCGAGCCCAGCATGTCTGGCAGGAGGTCCGTGCTGCACTATGCCATACGGCCGCACGTAACCAGAGGCTTGCTGATCGCCATCGGTCTCCTGCTCCTGACTATGTGCCTGGCCAAAAGATTTGGCTCTCAACTCGTGACTTATCTCTTCAGACTGAGTCCCGCAAACTGGCACCCAGGTATATCGGTCCTTTTGTCATTGAGCGCATAATCAATCCAATCCCACGTTGTTAATGTCCACCCTGCCTTTCATGTGTCCCTCCTTAAACCGGTTTCCACGAGTCCCCTGAGCCCTCCAGCCGAACCCCCTCCACCCCCCCCCCCCGGATTGTTGACAACCATCCTGCCTTCACTGTTCGGCGTTTTGCTGGATGTCCAGAGACGGGGCCGCGGCTTCCAGTATCTGGTAGACTGGGAGGGGTACGGTCCTGAGGAGCGATCGTGGATCTCCCGCTCCCTTATTCTGGACCCCCAGCTACTCACTGACTTCTATACTCTCCATCCGGACAAGCCTGGTAGGACGCCAGGGGGCGTCCCTTGAGGGGGGGGGGTACTGTTAGGATTTGTTTTTTTTGTTCTCTCCCCCTCCCCTTTCTGTTGCAGGGCTTGAGTGTGGCAGGGGGCGTGGCTTCTTCCAGAGCAGATGAGACACACCTGCAATCAATTCCTTCATCAGCCTCTGTATTTAGCCCTGCTCTTCTCACCACCACTTTGCCAGATAATTCCGTTCCTGTTTGATAGCGTCTATCAGGCTCTTGGATATTTACCTGTTTTGCTTATTGGTTGTTTTGGACTTACCTGCTCCTGTTTTCGCCCAGGTGTCTCCGTGGTTGTCTGCTGTTGCCTCTGGAGAAGTCGGCCAGCTCCCTGCCTCCCGTTTGTAAAATAAACTGTTAAAACTTGACTGAGTCCTGGCTCTGCTTTGGGGTCCCTCTTGCTAAACCTTAACAAAACCAGGACTGAACCGGGTCTAAACCAGGACTAGACTTGGTCCGGGTCTGGGCTCGTACCGGTGGAACAGGCTGTTGACAGAGAAACAGAAACATCAACAAGATTTTTCACCAAAACCAAAACAAACTCAAACTCTGAAACTCACCACAGTTTTCCCGAATGTAGCGAATCATCTCACACTCCTGAAAAACACACACACCACACAACACACACACACACACCACACACACACACACACACACACACACACACACACACACACACACACACACACACACACACACACACACACACACACACACACACACACACACACACACACACACACACACACACACACACACACACACACACACACACACACACACACACACACACACACACACACACACACACACACACACACACACACACACACACACATATTAGTTAAACACATGGAAAGTTTAAAATTCATGTTTAAAACATTTTAATGCTTCAGTAAAAGTGACTCACATTCCTCCTTTCTCCTGGAGGTCCTCGAGGTCCCTGTGAGGACCACACATGTCAGAAGTACTCAGATACTCACATACTCCAGTAAACTCACTCAGATACTCACATACTCCAGTAAACTCACTCAGATACTCACATACTCACATACTCCAGTAAACTCACTCAGATACTCACATACTCCAGTAAACTCACTCAGACTCAGATACTCAGACTGACCTCGTGTCCAGGGAATCCAGGCTCTCCTGGACTTCCCTCTCCACCTGGAGCCCCCGAGTTTCCCTGAAAGGAGACCGGATTAAAGCAGGACTAAAGCAGGACTAAAGCAGGACTAAAGCAGGACTAAAGCAGGACTAAAGCAGGACTAAAGCAGGACTAAAGCAGGACTAGACTCACTCCTCTGCCGCGGTTGCCTTTGCGTCCGGGGAATCCTTTGGGTCCCTGGAGACCATCCTCACCCTGAAACAGAAAAAGAACCAGATCTGAGGTCTGACTGTGTGTGGGACTCGGGTCGGACTCGGGTCGGACTGGGACTCGATGGCGTCAGCTGTTTCCTGTCTCCAGTGGCTCTGAGACTCTTGCGTGTCAAAGTTCAGACTCTGCTCTTCTAGTTTTGATCCAAGTCCAAACTGTGTGATTATTATTTGTGAAATGTGGAGCAAAACCTCAGATCCAGGATTTTTAAAGCATCAAAGTTTGGAGATAAAGTGTCGGGGAAGTGGAGTCACTGAGGAGAATCTGCAGGTTCAGGTTCAGCTTCAGCTCCGCTGCAACTTTACATTTAACACTTTAAATTTAACACTTAAACTTTCACACTGTGTGTATATGTGTGTGTGTTTTGTGTGTGTGGACTCACCATTAGCCCTGGGTATCCGGGGAATCCTGTGTCTCCCTGTAAACATGAAACACACACACACACACAGACACACACACACACACACACACAAATACACACACACACATATACACACACACAGACACACACACACACATATACACACACACAGACACACACACACAGACACACACACACACAAACACACAGACACACACACACAGACACACACACACACACACACACACACACACACACACATACACACACACACACACACACAGACACACACACACACACAGTTCATTATAATCAATAAATAAAAACAAAATAAAAACTGAATTAAATCAGGACGATTATAAAAAGTCTGAGCTGCACCTTTGCACCGCTGGGTCCCGGGGGTCCAGACCCGTCTCTGCCATCCAGACCCTGCACACAAAGACCGGACTGAACCAGGACTGAACCAGGACTGAACCAGGACTAAACCAGGACTGAACCAGGACTGAACCAGAACTAAACCAGGACTGAACCAGAACTAAACCAGGACTAAACCAGAAATAAACCAGGATTGAACCAGATCTAAACTCAGTTGGTCTCTCACCGGGGGTCCTCGGGGGCCCTGGGATCCGGGGTCTCCCTTTTCTCCAGGCTCTCCGGGCTGCCCCTGTGACCCAGACACACAGTGAGACATGTGTATGTGTCTGTGTGTGTCTGTGTTTTGTGCGTTGTGTGTGTTGTGTGTTTCACCTTTTGTCCGTTGGGTCCTCGTCTTCCGTTCAGACCTGGACCTCCAGGTGCTCCTGGTCCTCCCTGAAACATCAACATTTAAGAAAGAGAAGAAGAAGAAGAAGAAGAAGAAGAAGAAGGAGAGGAGGATGGACTCTGCTCTACATGATCCTGGGGTTTGTTTCTATATTAATTCCCGTCCCTGATGTGTCTGTGTGTCCAGATGTTCCGGATGTGTCCGTGTGTCCAGATGTTCTGGATGTGTCTGTGTGTCCAGATGTTCTGGATGTGTCCGTGTGTCCAGATGTTCCGGATGTGTCCGTGTGTCCAGATGTTCCGGATGTGTCCGTGTGTCCAGATGTTCCGGATGTGTCCGTGTGTCCAGATGTTCTGGATGTGTCTGTGTGTCCAGATGTTCCGGATGTGTCCGTGTGTCCAGATGTTCTGGATGTGTCCGTGTGTCCAGATGTTCTGGATGTGTCCGTGTGTCCAGATGTTCTGGATGTGTCCGTGTGTCCAGATGTTCTGGATGTGTCCGTGCTGACGTCCATGAGCCTCGTTTGGACTCAGGTCTCTGCGTCTGTGGAGGAAACGTGAGTCTCACCTGAGCTCCGGGCAGACCCTGAGGTCCTCGAGGTCCCGGCTGACCGTTCACTCCTCTGGGGCCCTGAAGGGTCACACAGGACACTGTTATCAACATGACCCCGTCTGACCCCACTGACCCCACCTCTGACCCCTGTGACCCCTGTGACCCCTGTGACCCCTTCTCTTACCTGTGGTCCTGAAGGTCCAGGTGTCCCTCTGGGTCCAGGTTCTCCTCCAACTCCGGGAGCTCCCTAAAAACACACACACACACACACACACACACATACACACACAAAACACACACACACACACACACACACACACACACACACACACACACATACACAAAACACACACACAGATACACACACACAAAACACACACACAGATACACACACACACACATACACACACACACAAAACACACACACACACATACACACACACAAAACACACATACACACACAAAACACACATACACACACATACACACACACAAAACACACACACAGATACACACACATACACACACACACACGTACACATACACACACAAAACACACACATACACACACACAAAACACACACACACACACACACATACACACACAAAACACACACACACACACACACAAACACACACACACACACACACACACACACACACACATACACACACACACACACACATACACACACATACACATACAAAACACACACATACACACACAAACACACATACACACACATACACACACAAAACACACACATACACACACAAACACACATACACACACATACACACACACAAAACACACACACACACACATACACACACACACACAGAAAACACACACACACACACAGAGTCACATGTGAGGACTGTATCTGCAGTGTCTTTGTTTGGCTCAGATGTTTCTTCAGAAAGTCTCTGACTCTGATCTTCAGGTTCTGGTTCCTCTGGACCTCAGTCCGAGCCCAGAGACGCTTCAGGACGAGATGCTCCACACAGTTTAGCTTTAGGACGCACAACTGAGACACGTCCACCGGACTGTCCTCTCACTGACCCATACTGACCGATACTGACCGATACTGACTCATACTGGCCGATACTGACACATACAGACACATACTGACCGATACTGACCCATATTGATCTATACTGATCGATATTGACCCATACTGACCGATATTCAGACACTGACCGATTCTTGGGCTGGAACAAAAATTGGGGTAAAAAATGAGAAACTTTTGAGGAAAAGAATCTGCTTCTTCAGTTCTGATCTGAAACAGTTTTGGAGAAGCTGCGAAACAAAATCGATCAAAAAAGTTTGAGTTTCTCTTTTGCCGTGGATCCTCCCTGAACGACTGAAAGATTTACAAAAAAACCCAAAACAAACCTCTGGCTCCTAAGTCCAGTTTCAGACACAAACGACTTTTGATGATCTCTGACCTCTGACCCCTGACCCTGTGGAGGGTCCAGTCTGAACTCTGCTGTGAGGAAGAGGAGTTACCTTTTCTCCAGGAGGTCCTCGTCTTCCCTCAGTGCCCTGAAAACACAAGAACCACAGAAAGAGTCACATGATCTGCTGCTCCTTTGACCCTTTAAATGTTCTGACCCTTTAAACATTCTCACCTTTTAAACGTTCTGACCCTTTAAACATTCTGACCCTTTAATTGTTCTGACCCTTTAATCATTCTGACCCTTTAAACATTCTGACCCTTTAATCATTCTGACCCTTTAATTGTTCTGACCCTTTAAACACAAGAGAAACAGAGAGCAACACATGAGTCACACAACAAACGGTCTCTCCCCGGTGCTCGTGGGGTCAGAGGTCGTGGGGTCAGAGGTCGTGGGGTCGTGGCGTGGGGGTCGTGGTCGTGGGGTCAGAGGTCGTGGGGTCAGAGGTCGTGGGGTCAGAGGTCGTGGGGTCGGTGGACGTGGGGTTGGTGGACGTGGGGTCAGTGGTCGTGGGGTCAGAGGTCGTGGGGTCAGACACCTGCAGGTCTCTGTGTGGAGCACAGGGGGCAGCACTGAGCAGGACTCACCTTGTTTCCTCCAGTTCCGCTCTCGCCGGTGACTCCGTCTGCTCCAGCGGCTCCCTGAGGGTCAGAGGTCACAGGGTCAGAGGTCACACTTACATGACTTAAACCAGGACTAAACCAGGTCTAAACCAGGACTAAACCAGGTCTAAACCAGGTCTAAACCAAGACTAAACCAGGTCTAAACCAGGACTAAACCAGGTCTAAACTAAACCAGGTCACTAAACCAGGTCTAAACCAGGTCTAACCAGGACTAAACCAGGACTAAACCAGGTCTAAACCAGGTCTAAACCAGGTCTAAACCAGGACTAAACTAAACCAGGACTAAACCAGTCTAAACCAGGTCTAAACCAGGTCTAAACCAGGACTAAACCAGGACTAAACCAGGTCTAAACCAGGTCTAAACCAGGTCTAAACCAGGCTGTGGGCCGACTTGGTGATGTTTCCCAAACCTACAAGAATCACCCAAGAAGAACATTGAACTGGAGACAGAAGAGTCAGAGCCGAGAAGATTAAAAATTCCTCAAACACGAATCAGTCCAGAGAAGAACACAGAGGAACAGAGAAGAAACCACGAGAACATGGAGAAAGATCTGAGGAGAACAGTTAAATCCACGAGAACATGGAGAAGGAGAACAGTTAAATCCACGAGAACATGGAGAAGGTTCTGTCTCACCGGTAAACCCGGGTTTCCAGCGTCTCCTTTGGGTCCTGGAGTCGAGTTATCAGCTCCTGGTTCTCCCTGTAACACAAGACCAGGTCAAGAACCAGGACTAAACCAGGTCTAAACCAGGACTAAACCATTTCTAAACCAGGTAGTAGTAGGAGTAGTATTGTAGTACTGTAGTACTGTAGTACTGTAGTATTGTAGTACTGTAGTATTGTAGTATTGTAGTACTGTAGTATTGTAGTACTGTAGTATTGTAGTACTGTAGTACTGTAGTATTGTAGTATTGTAGTATTGTACTGTAGAATTGTAGTACTGTAGTACTGTAGTACTGTAGTATTGTAGTACTGTAGTATTGTAGTACTGTAGTATTGTAGTACTGTAGTACTGTAGTACTGTAGTACTGTAGTATTGTAGTATTGTAGTACTGTAGTACTGTAGTACTGTAGTACTGTAGTATTGTAGTATTGTAGTACTGTAGTACTGTAGTATTGTAGTATTGTAGTACTGTAGTATTGTAGTACTGTAGTACTGTAGTACTGTAGTATTGTAGTATTGTAGTACTGTAGTATTGTAGTACTGTAGTACTGTAGTATTGTAGTATTGTAGTACTGTAGTACTGTAGTACTGTAGTACTGTAGTATTGTAGTACTGTAGTATTGTAGTACTGTAGTATTGTAGTATCTGTAGTATTGTAGTACTGTAGTACTGTAGTATTGTAGTACTTGTAGTATTGTAGTATTGTAGTACTGTAGTATTGTAGTATTGTAGTACTGTAGTACTGTAGTATTGTAGTACTGTAGTATTGTAGTATTGTAGTACTGTAGTATTGTAGTACTGTAGTACTGTAGTACTGTAGTATTGTAGTATGTAGTAGTAGTTGTAGTACTGTAGTACTGTAGTACATGTAGTATTGTAGTACTGTAGTATTGTAGTATGTGTAGTACTGTAGTATTGTAGTACTGTAGTACTGTAGTACTGTAGTATTGTAGTAGTACTGTAGTATTGTATGTAGTATAGTGTAGTACTGTAGTATTGTAGTATTGTAGTACTGTAGTACTGTAGTACTGTAGTATTGTAGTACTTGTAGTACTGTAGTATTGTAGTACTGTAGTACTGTAGTATTGTAGTACTGTAGTAGTAGTTGTAGTACTGTAGTAGTACTGTAGTACTGTAGTATTGTAGTACTGTAGTATTGTAGTACTGTAGTACTTGTAGTACTGTAGTACTGTAGTATTGTAGTATTGTAGTACTGTAGTACTGTAGTATTGTAGTACTGTAGTAGTACTGTAGTACTGTAGTATTGTAGTACTGTAGTATTGTAGTACTGTAGTACTGTAGTACTGTAGTACTGTAGTAGTATTGTAGTACTGTAGTACTGTAGTATTGTAGTACTGTAGTATTGTAGTATTGTAGTACTGTAGTACTGTAGTACTGTAGTACTGTAGTACTGTAGTACTGTAGTACTGTAGTACTGTAGTACTGTAGTATTGTAGTACTGTAGTACTGTAGTACTGTAGTATTGTAGTACTGTAGTACTGTAGTACTGTAGTATTGTAGTAGTACTGTAGTACTGTAGTACTGTAGTACTGTAGTATTGTAGTACTGTAGTACTGTAGTACTGTAGTATTGTAGTATTGTAGTACTGTAGTACTTGTAGTATGTAGTAGTACTGTAGTATTGTAGTACTGTAGTACTGTAGTACTTGTAGTACTGTAGTATTGTAGTAGTTGTAGTACTGTAGTACTTGTAGTACTGTAGTGTAGTACTGTAGTACTGTAGTATTGTAGTACTGTAGTACTTTGTAGTACTGTAGTAGTAGTACTGTAGTATTGTAGTACTGTAGTACTTGTAGTACTGTAGTACTGTAGTACTGTAGTAGTACTGTAGTACTGTAGTACTTGTAGTACTGTAGTACTGTAGTACTGTAGTAGTACTGTAGTATTGTAGTACTGTAGTACTGTAGTACTTGTAGTACTGTACTGTAGTACTGTAGTACTGTAGTATTGTAGTACTGTAGTATTGTAAGTACTGTAGTATTGTAGTATTGTAGTATTGTACTGTAGTACTGTAGTACTGTAGTAATTGTAGTATTGTAGTATTGTAGTACTGTAGTACTGTAGTATTGTAGTACTTGTAGTACTGTAGTACTGTAGTATTGTAGTACTGTAGTACTGTAGTATTGTAGTACTGCTGTAGTACTGTAGTATTGTAGTATTGTAGTACTGTAGTACTGTAGTATGTAGTACTGTAGTACTGTAGTACTGTAGTATTGTAGTACTGTAGTACTGTAGTACTGTAGTATTGTATTGTATTGTAGTACTGTAGTATGTAGTACTGTAGTAGTACTGTAGTACTGTAGTAGTATTGTAGTACTGTAGTATTGTAGTACTGTAGTACTGTAGTATTGTAGTATTGTAGTACTGTAGTACTGTAGTATTGTAGTACTGTAGTATTGTAGTACTGTAGTACTGTAGTACTGTAGTATTGTAGTACTGTAGTATTGTAGTACTGTAGTACTGTAGTACTGTAGTATGTAGTATTAGTAGTACTGTAGTACTGTAGTTGTAGTACTGTAATACTGTAGTATGTAGTATTGTAGTACTGTAGTATTGTAGTACTGTAGTACTGTAGTATGTAGTATTAGTAGTACTGTAGTATGTAGTACTGTAGTACTGTAGTATTGTAGTACTTGTAGTAGTTGTAGTACTGTAGTATTGTAGTATTGTAGTACTGTAGTATTGTAGTACTTGTAGTATGTAGTATTGTAGTAGCTGTAGTATTGTAGTACTGTAGTACTGTAGTACTGTAATACTGTAGTATGTAGTACTTGTAGTATTGTAAGTAGTGTAGTACTAATGTAATAGTAGTAGTATTTGTAGTACTGTAATAGTAGTACTGTAGTACTGTAGTACTGTAGTACTGTAGTTTGTAGTATTGTTAGTATTGTAGTATTGTAGTACTGTTAGTATTGTAGTACTGGTAGTACTGTAGTATGTAGTAGTAGTATGTAGTATACTGTAGTACTGTAGTAGTAGTATTGTAGTACTGTAGTAGTAGTACTGTAGTAGTACTGTAGTATTGTAGTATGTAGTAGTGTAGTACTGTAGTACTGTAGTACTGTAGTACTGTAGTAGTAGTACTGTAGTACTGTAGTAGTATATTGTAGTACTGTAGTACTGTAGTATTGTAGTATTGTGTAGTATGTGTATGTAGTACTGTAGTACTGTAGTGTGTAGTACTAGTACTGTAGTATTGTAGTATTAAGTACTGTAGTACTGTAGTACTGTAGTAGTAGTACTGTAGTACTGTAGTATTGTACGTACTGTAGTATTGTAGTAGTAGTACTGTAGTACTGTAGTATTGTAGTACTGTAGTAGTAGTACTGTAGTATTGTAGTACTGTAGTACTGTAGTACTGTAGTATTGTAGTACTGTAGTATGTAGTATTGTAGTTACTGTAGTACTGTAGTATGGTAGTACTGTAGTACTGTAGTAGTAGTATTGTAGTACTGTAGTACTGTAGTATTGTAGTACTGTAGTACTGTAGTAGGTATGTTACTGTAGATAGTATTGTAGTACTTGTAGTATGTAGTATGTAGTATGTAGTACTGTATTGTAGTATTGTAGTTTGTACTGTAGTACTGTAGTAGTGTAGTAGTACTGTAGTATTGTAGTAATTGTAGTACTGTAGTATTGTAGTACTGTGTACTGTAGTACTGTAGTAGTAGTATGTAGTATGTAGTAGTACTGTAGTATTGTTAGTAGTATTGTAGTATTGTAGTACTGGTAGTATTGTATATTGTAGTATTGTAGTACTGTAGTACTGTAGTAATTGTAGTACTGTAGTATTGTAGTATTGTAGTATGTAGTGTGTAGTATTGTAGTACTGTAGTACTGTAGTACTGTAGTATTGTAGTATTGTAGTACTGTAGTATGTAGTATTGTTAGTATTGTAGTACTGTAGTATTAGTATTGTAGTACTGTAGTATTGTAGTACTTGTATTGTACTGTAGTATTGTAGTACTGTAGTACTGTAGTATTGTAGTACTGTAGTACTGTAGTATTGTAGTATTGTAGTACTGTAGTACTGTAGTATTGTAGTATTGTAGTATTGTAGTATTGTAGTACTGTAGTACTGTAGTACTGTAGTACTGTAGTATTGTAGTATTGTAGTACTGTAGTATTGTAGTACTGTAGTACTGTAGTACTGTAGTACTGTGTAGTAGTAGTACTGTAGTATTGTAGTACTTGTAGTATTGTAGTATTGTAGTACTGTAGTACTGTAGTATTGTAGTATGTAATATTGTAGTACTTGTAGTACTGTAGTATTGTAGTACTGTAGTACTGTAGTACTGTAGTACTGTAGTATTGTATTGTAGTATTGTAGTATTGTAGTATTGTAGTATGTAGTACTGTAGTACTGTAGTATTGTAGTTGTAGTATTGTAGTATGTGTAGTGTATGTGTATGTAGTAGTAGTAGTTGTAGTACTGTATTGTAGTTGTAGACGTATTGTAGTACTGTAGTACTGTAGTATTGTAGTATTGTAGTAGTATGTAGTATGTAGTATTGTAGTAACTGTACTGTACTGTAGTATTGTAGTATTGTAGTACTGTAGTACTGTAGTATTGTAGTACTGTAGTATTGTAGTACTGTAGTACTGTAGTATTGTAGTACTGTAGTAGTACTGTAGTACTGTAGTTTGTACTGTAGTATTGTAGTATGTAGTATTGTAGTACTGTTAGTACTGTAGTATGTGTATACTGTAGTATTGTACTGTACTGTAGTATTGTAGTACTGTAGTACTGTAGTAGTACTGTAGTACTTGTAGTATGTAGTACTGTAGTACTGTAGTATACTGAGTAGTAGTACTTGTAGTACTGTAGTATTGTAGTACTGTAGTACTGTAGTACTTGTATTGTATTGTAGTACTGTAGTACTGTAGTACTGTAGTACTTGTAGTATTGTAGTATTGTAGTATTGTAGTACTGTAGTATACTGTAGTACTGTAGTATTGTATACTGTAAGTAGTACTGTAGTAGTATGTAGTACTGTAGTACTGTAGTACTGTAGTACTGTAGTACTGTAGTATTGTAGTACTTGTAGTACTTGTAGTATACTGTAGTACTGTAGTACTGTAGTATTGTAGTACTGTAGTACTGTAGTATTGTAGTACTGTAGTATTGTAGTACTGTAGTACTGTAGTATTGTAGTACTGTAGTACTGTAGTACTGTAGTATTGTAGTACTGTAGTACTGTAGTACTGTAGTACTGTAGTACTGTAGTACTGTAGTACTGTAGTACTGTAGTACTGTAGTACTGTAGTACTGTAGTACTGTAGTACTGTAGTACTGTAGTACTGTAGTACTGTAGTACTGTAGTATACTGTAGTACTGTAGTACTGTAGTACTGTAGTAATGTACTGTAGTACTGTAGTATGTAGTACTGTAGTACTGTAGTATTGTAGTATTGTAGTACTGTAGTACTGTAGTATTGTAGTACTGTAGTACTGTAGTACTGTAGTACTGTAGTACTGTAGTATTGTAGTATGTAGTAGTATGTAGTACTGTAGTATTGTAGTACTGTAGTACTGTAGTACTGTAGTACTGTAGTACTGTAGTACTGTAGTATTGTAGTACTGTAGTACTGTAGTATTGTAGTACTGTAGTACTGTAGTATTGTAGTACTGTAGTACTGTAGTATTGTAGTACTGTAGTACTGTAGTACTGTTGTACTCACTGGGTCTCCTCTGAGGCCCTTCTGGCCTTTGGGTCCTGCTTCTCCTCTCAGTCCAGGGATTCCCTACAGACATCAGAGCTGTCAATCAAAGTGTGTGACACAAACACACACACACACACACACACACACACATACACACACACACACACACACACACACACAACACATAAACACACACACACACACTCTGGGCCTGGGGCAGATTCCTGTTACACACTTTCACACACACAGAGGGTCATGACAGAAACACACCAGAGCAGCAACACACGTAGTAACAGAAGTACTAGTAGAAATAGTACTAGTAGAAATAGTACTAGTAGAAATAGTACTAATAGAAATAGTACAAGTAGAAATAGTACAAGTAGTAGAAATAATAGAAGTAGTAGTAGTGGAAATAGTAGTAGCCACCCCAGCACTGAGACAGGCCTCCTGCGAGTCACTAATGACCTCCTGCTCTCCTGTGACTCTGGTAACATCTTCATCTTCATCCTCCTGGACCTCACTGCTGCTTCTGACTCTACTGACCACTCCATCCTCCTCTCCCGCCTGCAAACCATCTTCAACATCACAGACAGCGCCCTCTCCTGGTTCACCTCATACCTCACCCACAGACACCAATTCATCCATGTCAAGTCCCCCTCTGCCCCACTTACTCAAGGAGTTCCCCAAGGTTCAGTCCTCGGCCCCCTCCTCTTCATCCTCTGCATCCTCCCCCTCGGTCACATAATTCGCTGCCGCGGCCTCCAGTTCCGTTACCCGTCCACCAAAACCCTAACCCCGGCCACACATTCCACCCTCACAAACTGCATCTCCGAAATAAAGTCCTGGCTACAATCAAACTTCCTCCAACTCAACTGCAGCAAAACTGAAATAATCATTCAAAACACTCACCAGAACTCACAATAACTTCTCCCTCTCCACTGACGGCTCCTCAGTCTCCTCCTCCTCCCACCTCCGTAACCTCGGCAGACCCTTCCTTTGAACACCACGTTAAACACATCACTAAAACCGCCTTCTATCACCTCCAGGAACATCGCTCGCCTCCGCCCGTCCCTCTCCCCTCAGTCTGCTGAAACCTTCATCCAGGCCTTTGTCACCTCCCGCCTCGACTGCTGCAACAGCTGCTCTACGGTTCACCCTCCAAACTCCTCAACAGACTCCAGCACATCCAGAACTCTGCTGCCTCCACCTCCTCCTCACCCGCACCTCCTCCTCACCTGCACCTCCTCCTCACCTGCACCTCCTCCTCACCCGCACCTCCTCCTCACCCGCACCTCCTCCTCACCTCACCTCCTCACTCACCCGCACCTCCTCCTCACCCTGCACCTCCTCCTCAACCTGCACTCCTCCTCACCTCCCCCTCCTCACCTGCACCTCCTCCTCACCTCCTCCCGCACCTCCTCCTCACCCGCACCCGCACCTCCTCCTCACCTGCACCTCCTCCTCCTCTCCACCTCCACCTCCTCACCTCCTCCTCACCCGCACCTCCTCCTCACCTGCACCTCCTCCTCACCTGCACCTCCTCCTCACCTGCACCTCCTCCTCACCTCACCTCACCTCACTCCTCCTCACCTGCACCTCCTCCTCACTCCTCCTCACCCACCTCCTCCTCACCTGCACCTCCTCCTCACCCGCACCTCCTCCTCACCTGCACCTCCTCCTCACCTGCACCTCCTCCTCACCCGCACCTCCTCACTCCTCCTCACCTGCACCTCCTCCTCTCCTCCTCACCCGCACCTCCTCCTCACCTGCACCTCCTCCTCACCTGCACCTCCTCCTCACCCGCACCTCCTCCTCACCTCCTCCTCACCTGCACCTCCTCCTCTCCTCCTCACCCGCACCTCCTCCTCACCTCCACCTCCTCCTCACCTGCACCTCCTCCTCACCTGCACCTCCTCCTCACCTGCACCTCCTCCTCACCTGCACCTCCTCCTCACCCGCACACCTCCTCCTCACCTCACCTGCACCTCCTCCTCACCTGCACCTCCTCCTCTCCTCCTCACCTCACCTCCACCTCCTCCTCACCTGCACCTCCTCCTCACCTGCACCTCCTCCTCACCTGCACCTCCTCCTCACCCGCACCTCCTCCTCACCCGCACCTCCTCCTCACCGCTCACTCCTCCTCACACTCCACTCCTCCCCATCCCCCAGAGCATTCAGTTCCTCCTCCTCACCACTGTGTACAAGTCCCTCCATATTCTGCCCCCCCCCGCCTCTCTGAGCTCCTCCTCCACCACACCCCCGCCCCTGCCCTCCGATCAGCTGACGCCAACCTCCTGTCTCCGCCCACCAGGACTAAACATAAGACCTGGGGGGACCGGGCCTTCTCAGCCACTGCCCCCACCCTCTGGAACTCCCTCCCCAAACACATGAGAGACTCATCCACACTCCCCATGTTTAAAAAAGCCCTGAAACCATCGCTTTAAAAAAAACATTTAATTAACTGTCTTTTTCTCTTGTTTGTCATTGTTTCTTTTCCAATGTGAAGCATCTTTGGGGATCTTGAAAAGTGCTATACAAGTGTTATGTATTATTATTAGTAGTAGTAGTAGTAGAAGTAGCAGAAATAGTAGTAGTAGCAGTAGTAGCAGTAGTACTAGTAGTAGTAGTAGTAGTAATAGTAGGCCCAGCAGTAGTATTTGTGGTATTTGTGGTATTTGTAGTATTTGAGGTACTCACAGCTCCTCCGGGGCGTCCTGGGGCTCCTTTAGATCCCTCTTTCCCCGTCAGACCCTGAACACAAACAGGACAAACAGGGTTAAACAGACACAGGCAGAACATGCAGACATGTGTACAGGTGTGTACACGTGTGTACAGGTGTGTACAGGTGTGTTGTACAGGTGTAGTACAGGTGTAGTACAGGTGTGTACAGGTGTAGTACAGGTGTGTACAGGTGTGTACACGTGTGTACACGTGTGTACAGGTGTAGTACAGGTGTAGTACAGGTGTGTACAGGTGTAGTACAGGTGTGTACAGGTGTGTACACGTGTGTACAGGTGTAGTACAGGTGTACAGTGTGTACAGGTGTACAGGTGTGTACAGGTGTACAGGTGTGTACAGGTGTGTACAGGTGTAGTACAGGTGTGTACAGGTGTGTACAGGTGTAGTACAGGTGTAGTACAGGTGTGTACAGGTGTAGTACAGGTGTGTACAAGTGTAGTACAGGTGTAGCACAGGTGTAGCACAGGTGTGTACAGGTGTAGTACAGGTGTGTACAGGTGTAGTACAGGTGTTAGTACAGGTGTGTACAGGTGTAGTACAGGTGTGTACAGGTGTAGTACAGGTGTAGTGTGTACAGGTGTAGTACGGGTGTGTACAGGTGTAGTACAGGTGTGTACAGGTGTAGTACAGGTGTAGTACAGGTGTGTACAGGTGTAGTACAGGTGTGTACAAGTGTAGTACAGGTGTGTATAGGTGTAGTACAGGTGTGTACAGGTGTAGTGCAGGTGTAGTACATGTGTGTACAGGTGTAGTACAGGTGTGTACAGGTGTAGTACAGGTGTAGTAAAGGTGTAGTACAGGTGTAGTAAAGGTGTAGTACAGGTGTAGTACAGGTGTGTACAGGTGTAGTACAGGTGTAGTACAGGTATGTACAGGTGTAGTACAGGTGTGTGTACAGGTGTAGTACAGGTGTAGTGTACAGGTGTACAGGTGTAGTACAGGTGTAGTAGTACAGGTGTGTACAGGTGTAGGTGTACAGGTGTAGTACAGGTGTGTACAGGTGTAGTACAGGTGTACAGGTGTAGTACAGGTATGTACAGGTGTGTACAGGTGTGTACACGTGTAGTACATGTGTAGTACAGGTGTGTACAGGTGTGTACAGGGGTGTACAGGTGTAGTACAGGTGTGTACAGGTGTAGTACAGGTGTGTACAGGTGTAGTACAGGTGTGTACAGGTGTAGTACAGGTGTGTACAGGTGTAGTCAGGTGTAGTACAG